CATGCTGTGGTGTGTATAAACACCCCACTTCCAGCCACCTACACCCTAAATAAAAATACAACAAAAAATAAGAAATGAAACGAAACAGGGACCTAGATGCTCATAAGGGCACTGAATTTTTATTCTTTCTCTTCTTCATGAGTTTCATTAAAAGAAGCCAAGCTTCCTTAATCAGAATGTTTTCTTGGCACCATGGACAATTCCTGGCAGCCTTAAATGAAAATGAGTTGAAATAAATATATGGTAATTCTTGCTCTTGCTCCTGTTTAGAACCGCATGAGGGTGAAGCTGAGGCTCTGTCATGTTGCTCTCCTGCAGAGAATGCATGGCTGGAGGCTGGATTAGAGCAAGGATTCAGTCCCTAGCTGGACTTGAGGGTATCAGGATGCTAAGATGATGGAGGAAAGAGCTGGCTTTGGCAGCTGACTCTTTTCCTCTCTTCCAAGAGCCATGAGGTCCCTTCCTCCCCACAGGGTAGTGGAGGATTTTGAGGGGCTACACACATTTCTGAGGTGCCTCTCAGAAGTCTCTCTGTCCTGAGAGCTGTGGGAAGGTGTTCCCACTAGCCAGTGAGCAAAGGCTCATCTTAGCTATGTGACTGGGGGGAGATCTGCCTCAAACACAGGTTGACCATCTGGCTAGAAGCCCAAGCAAGCATTTCTTTCTTGAAAATTTAAGGGAAACATTACAATCTGGACTGATCAATATGTGTATTTTCCTTGGTCAGAGTACAGGGGGGATAGGGGTAAGCACAGTGGCTCCCACGCCCAAGTGTGAGCCATGGGGAGCCGGCTGGGGAATGGAAGACACTTATTGAAAGTCGTCCTTCTCACAGTCCACCTTTAAAAGCAGAGCTCAGGACCCTGCGTATTTCTATGCATTTTCAGAGTACAGCAGCCAGGAACTACTTCTTGGCAACCAGAGCCATTGAATTAGATGCTTTGGGGCAATTAACTCACCAACAAATACCCTTTAACATGAGTGTTTCTCTCTCTCTCTCTGGCTTTTGAGACAGGGTTTCTCTTTGTAGCTCTGGTTGTCCTGACTTGCTGTGTAAAGCAGGCTGGCTTTGAACTTGGAAATTTGCCGTCTCTGCTTCCGGAGTGTGCCACCACTGCCCAGCTGCAATGAGTATTTCTAATACCCTTGCTTTTGTTTCCTGTAAATGTCATGTTAATGACACATTAAGTGTAACTGGGCACCTCGTTGATAACTGGGCATACCTGGAGCGAGGCAAGGAGGCAATGACCTACTAAGCAGTGGGTGCGGGCTAGCATGTCTGCGCCTCCCTTGTCTGTGTCTGCAATGCCACGTCTGAGAAATGGTGATCAAATCTGCCGTGTTGAGGATCAGTCCTCCATTTCTATTTGCTGTGGTAGGATTGATTCTGAGATGTCATGTATTCTGTGTGTATGTTGGGTACCTGAGTCTGTGTCATCGCACTGGCCCTGTTAATTACCATTCTTGTAGCCCACACTTTGACACGACAATGAGGCGGATCACAGCACTATTTGGTGCAGGCTAGACTCTGCCCCGTGGAGGCATTGGAGCATAGAAAATTGCTTAATGCTACTTTAAGACTAGATGTGTGGGTGACTGGGACAGTGACAATTATGACTGTGCCAACAGTGCCAACATTATGAGCACGTAATTGCCTGTCAGCTGGTGGAGTTTTCGCTTGAATGTCTTCATTTCATCTCCAAGTGTGGCAGCCTTGTAACTGCGTGCGTGTTTTCCATCGGGATGGTGAAGTAACTGGCTGCAGGTCCAGCATCCAGCAGGGGGCAGTGCCAGTCCACAAACTGAGGGCGGCAGCCACCAGTCAGGTCTACAGTTGGTGCTGGCTTTTGCGGACATCAAATAGAGTAACAGCCTCCACCTGCTGAAGCATTCATAGTATGCGACAGTTTTTAAACATGGGAACTTGCTCCTTGCCCCCTGTTGTTACACTAGAGGGGCCAGGTGCCCTGTTAGGCTTAGTTACCCTGGAACAAACTTGATATCATATTTCAAACCTTAAAGGAGGTCCTAAGCTGTCATTGATTTCTTAGTTTCTTTGTTTCTTAGGCTCTGCTTTTTTGGTGGTGGTGGTGGTGGTGGGGGGTGATTTATTTTTATAAGTGCTCTTTCTGCATGTACACCTGAACATCAAAAGAGGCCATCGGATCACATTATAGGTGGTCGTGAGCCACCATGTGGTTGCTGGGAATTGAACTCAGGACCTCTAGAAGAGCAATCAGTGCTCTTAACTGCTAAGCCATTTTTCCAGCCCAATAGATTTATTTTCTAGAATCTTTGCACAGTAGCAAAGAAGACAACACCTTTCAAAAAGCTATAATAAGCTTTATTGATATTTTTCTCCCTTAGAGACTCTTGAATCAGGGCCTGGCCACTCTCTAAGTACATGCTTTTTGTCTTCCTATTTCTTCCCAGGACACAAGGTCACCCACACTAGGTTTGAGGTCAATTCTGTGTTATTTGGTTTGTAGGAATCTTACTATAAATTGATTATCACCCAACTGGTTATCACTTTATAAACTGATTATTTGCAGGGCTAGTGAGATGGCTGAGTTGGTGAAATGCTTGCTCCACAATAGAAGGATCTGAGTTCGGATCCCCAGGAGTCATGTAAGAGGCTGGGCACTGTGGTATACACCTGCAAGCCAGTGCTGGGAGGCAGAGATCAGGACCCTTGAGTCCTTTGGCTAGTAAGTCTAGCCAACTAGTGATGCCTCAGTGGTTAACAACAGACTGCTCTTCCAGAGGACCCGGGTTCAACTCCCAGCACCCACATGGCAGCTCACAGCTGTCTGTAACTCCAGTTCCAGTGAATCTGATACCCTCACGCAGACATACATGCAGGCAAAACACCAACCAATGCTCATGAAACAAAAATAATTAAATTATTTTTAAAAATAATGTGGATGTCTCTGGGGAGATGGCTTAGCAGTTAGGAGTGCATCCTGCTTGAACTCAGGTCATCATGCTTGGCAGGATACCTTTAGCCACTGAACCATCCCATGGGCCTCACCTTGCTCTTGAGATGTGCCTTTAAGCAGGCTACTCTGGTTGGCTGGTAGGCCCCAGGGATCCCCATCTCTGTCTCCTCAGAAGTCTGAGTTTCTGGAAAACACACATCACCGTGCCTGACCTTTCTTACATGGCTCCTGAGGAACAAGCTCAGGGCCTCATGCCTATATGCTGAGCTTATCTCCTCACACAGAAGAACATGCTTCATACAGCCCTGTCAGAGACTAGGCAGTGCATCTCTCAAGACTGACTCCATGTTGGTCATGCTCTGTCTCTGGTGGCTCCTCCCTTTGATGGGCTGCCACTTCCAAAGGCAACCGATTGCCAGGCATATGAAATCGAACATTTTCTCACTTTTCTAGGCCAACTTTCAAAATGAGTGAATTCCCCCTTTTTTTCTAAGAATAACAAGAATTTCAGGGGTCTTTCCCTACACACTTAACCCTCAAGGAGTCTTGTTCCCTTTGTGGACCTGCCCAAAGTTTCAGCAAGCTCACCCGCACTTCCTCTCGAGGTCTCGGAGGCCTCTCCCCCTACCTGGGAGCTGGAGCCCCAAGCTTGGCTTGAGGTTGTCTGGGGGAGTCCCTGTTCCTCACCCTGCTCGTTGGCTTTGTGGTAATTTTCCTCCCCAAGTCACACAGACCATGTAGAACTCTTCAGGGCCCCTACCCATGGTTCTAGCTTGTTTGTCTGTAACAATGTCTCTACGGGCTTGCCACATCTGCCAAGGGGAACACGTGGCCTCCTAGCTCTCTTTACCAAGTGTCCCCAGGCATTTTGCCAGCCCTCTTTTCCAGATGAGTCCCAGACAGCCAATGCAGAGCCAGAATGCAAGTATTTCTCATTTCCTGACCTATCATCTTTCTTCTAAAACCATTAGGTGGTTTGGAGGCACCGAACTATCTCGGCCTGGTGCCCTTTTCCTATTTCGTGTGGCTCTTTGTGGCTTGCACAAACATTCTGCAGCCTGTAAGGCAAAAGCTGTAGCATCAAATGGAGTCAGAGATGAGAGCTCAGCGGGGCTCAAGTCCAGGCTAAATACCCTCCGTCCCCACAAGCAATAGCAGTATCTGTGAGACGCGCGCGTTCTCAGGTCTACTGAGACCTGCGGAGTCAGGAACTCTCAGGTGGGTCCCAACGATCGTGTTTGACAGCCTTCCCCACGAGCACCATCGCCCCGGCCACGAGCGAGCGAATGTGTCTAGTTATAAACAAAAGCAAACGCTGCTGTACTTCAGAACACGCACCGTCGCCTCCCTGACACCCCTTTCCTCTTTTCTTGGACTCTGGAAGAGCTTCAGGGCGGGGATGATGCGCTTGCCACACAATGTGAGGACCCAGGTTAGACGCCTCGGAACTCACGTTAAGTTGTATGTGGGATCATGCGTGTGTGTAATCTCAGCGCTCCGGTGGGGAGCTGGGAGGTGACGGCAGGAAAAGCTCTGGACATTCAGGGTTGGCCAGCCTGGTATACACTGTGGCTCCCAAGGAGCCTGTCACAACAGTATGAAACGTTAAGACTTAAAGCTGCCCTTCGACTTCTATACATGTGCTGAGACATGCGTGCGTGCACGCACTCCTGTATTGTGAAAACAGGATTGGCTCAGGCCAATGAGTGTAGATAAATGGGTTAATGTTTGCTTCCTGTCCTTATAATCAAACACACCGGATATCAGCTTGTGAGATGGTGGCTGACGCCTTAGGGTTCTAGTCCATGACCGTCCATGTTGCTTTGGGCCTATGGAGGGGTGGAGCAACGTGGTTGACGTGCATGAGAGAGCAAACCTGCCTATTCCATGTCCAAGGAGAGCGGGAGACGGGGCAGGGGGTAGCTAGGATCCCATGGTCCTCTTGGCAGGCACAGCCGCGGTGACTCGGCCCCACCTCCCAAGGGTTTCTGTGCCCTCTAAGGGCGCCACCTGACCTTTGCGGGCGTTCAGGATCTAGACTTTCTCTCTTGTCTTCCATAGATCATCTTGCTGAGGAGAATAAGGAGTCATCTCTATTCAACAGGGATGTCAACCGTCAATTAACTACCACTGACAACAGGATACAGCAAAGAAACACTCAAGGTACTCACCCTCAAAACACGACCTAGTAAGAGTCAAGAGTAAGGAAAGTTCCAGGAGGTCTCTTGATTTTGAGGAGATTTTAGCTGAGTAGAGTCAGTGGACCTTTAATTCACCTGCAAAAAGTACTGGTCAGCTGGCCACACACCTGCAGTCCCAATGCTTAGCAGGCTGAGGCGGGAGGGTCATGAGGTTGAAGCCAGCCTGGGCTACATAATGAGACTGTGCAAAAACCAAAACACAAATCAGGTGGTGCTTATGTTCTACACAGTATGGATTAAATGCATTTCAAAAAAGTTGGCCATCTGTTCAAAAGGATGGTCATGATTTTTCTAAAGAGCCAGCCAGGGTCATTTAGAACATGGGGTCCTCTTCTGAGTCCCCGTCACTGCTGGTCCCTGAGCTAACTACCTCGCAAGAGGGATTAAATGTCAGAGGTAAACCTAGTCTCTTATGCCTCCGGCTTCTTCCTTCTTGTTGGGTGGACTGAGCTCAGGCTTGTTGATCGAGGGTGGAGACTGACCCTCTGCTGGCCCCAAGCCCAGTACGCTCCCTTCATACGGCCACTCCGTCAAAATGAGACCCTGGTGTTACCTCCCCACTTCCAGAAACTAAACACTGAGCCTGACAGTTGGACATGCCTGCAAGGCACGTGTATGCACACATACCTGTGGCCATGCACTCACAAAACAACTAAACTTTCCAGTGATGAATTATTCTAGTGCAGCCCTTGGAGAGACTTACCTGATGCCCCTATGTACCTGGGATGAAGCTTTGGGCTCCAATTCTCCCCCATAACCCAAGAAAACCACTGGGCAGTATTCTCCTGCCTGCATCACCCGCTCTTTTCAGCATTTCTCACAAACTGTCTCATTTCTGTCATTGTATCCTTTCCCCTACTCTCCAGTTCCGCCCTCTTCTCTGACTAGATTACAAATGGAATCACATATGATCCTGGGTCCCCAAATGCCAGCTGGATCTCCTTCCTTTGTGATCTAACCCAAACCCATGCTCAGTGGCACTCCAGACCCCACCCTCATGGTTTCTCAAAGTGCCCAGAGGGTTGTTGGAAGTCATGGCCATTTCTGGCATCATCTACCACAGGATGGCAGTCACAGACCTCTCAAACTACAATCTCAGTCAGTTTCCCATCCCAGTGGCAAAGACCCTACACGAACAAATTCAAGGAGAAGGGATTTGTCTTGGTGCTTTGACTTCAGAGGTCTCAGAGTTGGTAGTCAGCTGCCCCCACTGTTTCAAGGCTTTGAAGAGGCAGAGACCATTGGGGCGGAAAAGCCCCTGACTTTGTACCAGTCAGGAAGCAGAGGAAAATAACCTCCCCTCATTGGCTGGCTTCAACTTTTTCACACACACACACACACACACACACACACACACACACACACACACAAACACACAAGGATACTTATTCTAATCTTTTATGTGTCTCTCAGTCGAATCAGGATCACAGGCCTAAAATCATGCCTACACCCACAAGGCAGACAGAATCCACAGTAGAATTTCTAAAAGCTGCTGGGCAGGGAGGAGGCGGCAGTAGGGGGACATTTTTGTCGCTGCCCGGTGAGCAGTTTTGACTAAAATACTTGACACACTGCTGTCCTGTGCTGGAGATTTAACCCAGGGCCAGCCCCACCTCCGTTATTCTCAAAACCTCTGAAGTAGGATATCCCCGCCTTCTTTTTCACCTCCTCCATGCTCCGCCTCTCCCATGGACCTCTCCTCTAGTCCTCTTGCTTCCTACACACCATGGTTTGTTCACCCTTCTTCATGGACATGTTGCCCTTGCCAGCCCCTCTGCCCAGCACCTCAGCGTGTCACCGGTGACAAGGCTAGTGGCTTCCCCAGCTGTCTGAAGCCAGCGGCTGACACGCTGCTGTGTTTACTTCTGCTCTGAGCAAGGCCTTCTGGGATATTGCCCTTCCTCGTTTGGGGGTCTGGTTGTGGGTCATGTGGCAGGATGGCTGCGGGCCAGCTCTAGCTACTCTTCTCGCATGTTCCGGTTCAGGCGCCTACACCAGCAGTCTCCCCTGCGGGCAGCTGCTGAGCTTCCTACAGAAGAACATCATTGTTGCCACCGTAGCTATGGCCAGCATCCTCCTGGCCACTGTGTTTACAGTGCTGCTCGTGCTCACGTGTATGAGGCAGAAGCAGCCAAGGTGAGTGGCTCTTGGGATCCATCTTCCTTTTAGGAGTTCAGGAAGGGTAGTGCTGGTGGAGAGATGGCTCAGGTTCTGTTCTCAGCACAGGGCAGTTCACAGCCACCTGCTGCTCCAGTTCTAGGGGATCCAGTGTCCTCTACTGGCCTCTCGGGACAGTGCATGCATGTGGGACACGCTGGCAAAGCACCCATACATGCAAGATAAAATAAGTTTGTTTGTTTGTTTTTTAATCAAAAAACTCAGGGAGTTTGAAGTGTAGTTGCTTTCTGCAGATCCCAGATGTAGGAGGAAAGCAGGGACGGTTTCCTGTGGTGCTTCAGCATTTCCCAGGTGGTGGGTTTCAGGGGCTCCCTGGTGATTCTGAGGTACGCTGAAGCTAAGGCGTGCCTGACTTCAGCTATGCTTGCTTCTCAAGGCCACGGACATTAGCCAGGTCTGCCCCATACTAAGAGAAAACTGAGGGGAGGTAGCAGAGCCTCTGGTAAGAAGGTTGGAAACTAGGGCCCTCTTCCTCCCAGACACACACACACATACACCTGAAACAGGGTTTCTCTGTGTAGCCCTGGCTGTCCTGGAACTTGCTCTGTAAGTCAGGCTATCCTCGAACTCAGAGTGACACTCATGGAGAAGGGACAAGAGGAGTACCAGAGCAGGAGGCAGCCTGCAGGGGGCTGCTTTTCCTCAGCGTCAGGGATGCAGAGTGCCCTGCCTCTGCCTCTGCCTCTGGAGCGCTGGGGTAACAGGCATGCATCTCCATGTCCAGCTAGGGAACCAGGATTCTAGATGCAGAGAAGCCAAGGCATGGCTGTAAGAGGTGCGGAGGATCAGGACGCGGTGGAGTAGGGAACAAGGCTGACTTCAGTCTGTCCACACTGCTGTGCTGCTTAGACTATGGAGGTGTGGCTCTGCTACCTGGCAAACTGCCGCTTCCCAGAATCACTCCTGATCCTGGGGCGGGTTAATGCCTGGCACAGTAGGAGCCTCAAGGGGCAAAGTGACAGGGTCCAGGCCCAGACGTGAGACTTGGGCAGACACCACAAGAAAATAACTTGAAAGACCAGAATGCCCTGCTCTGCATTCCTGACGCTCCCTTCAGGCCATCTCCTGCTCTGGTGCTCCTCTTGTCCCTTCTTTGGGGTCTGAGGTTACAGTAGTTAAATTTATCCGTAAGAGTGTCGCTGCTTTCTCTAAAGGCCAAGCAAGGCTTCTGGATGGAAAGCCCAAGCAGGCCAGGCTAGCCGACAGCTGCCTTATACCTAGCTTACTCTTCTGAGACAGGCATGTGGCTCCTGAAGCAAAATGGGAGCACTGATTTAAGGGCCTCTGAAAACACGCTGGTTCTACTTCACAACCCTGGCCAGGGCTCGTCATTGGACCAACCAGACATTTTCTCTCAAAAAGAACGGGTTAGGACGAGCCAGGGATGCGCATGAAAAGCGGGCGATGGAAGAGTTTCCCAGGGACACCTATCCATTAGGCAGAGAGTGGCCATCCCGTGTGTTCAGTGAGCAGCGTGGTTTGTCTTCTTCGTTTTAGGTATCCTCCAGTGAGCACGACATACAATATTTTTATAATGAGCGGGAAGGATTGGTGGCAAAGGGCTCAGGAAAAGCGCTTCAGAAAACTCTCAGGAAAGCAGAAGCACCTGAATAGTGGCAACTCTTTCGTCTAAGCCGGTGGAGGGGCCAGAAAACTGCCACCAAGCCACTGTCAGAGGGCTCTTGCGCTGCCGGGACCGAAGTCGAGGGTAGGCAAGAAGCTCCTCAAAGGTTGCTGGCTAGAAGCTTCACTTCAGCGAGGCTGGGGGGAAGCAGTGGAGGGTGGCGCCTGCTAGCAGCACGCCCGGTACCCGCGCGCCGGGCTCTTGGTGTCTGCGGCCCTAGACCCTAAAGACTTGGCAGCTGCACCTGCACGTCCACTTCCCTTCTTCCTTCTGCTCCGCCGCTCCTTCCGGTGTCGGCGACATCACCAGGAAGACTGGGGGGTACATGTCTTTGTGGGGGCATCATTTGGGAGCTGGGGCTGCAGAGGGCCATTTGGAAACTGGATGCTGGGAGCGGCTGGAATCATTAATGGGTATCTTCTCCCACTGCAAGCCGGATCCTGGTGGGCTGATGGGATTCCCAGCCTGGATCCTTGGCAGGTCCTGGTCAGCAGCACCCAGCTTGCGGAGCTAGGTTGGCTCAGGCCTGTGGGCGCTGCTGGGGAGTGGGTCTGCGGTCTCAGTGGGCAGCTTCTTTAGCTGCTGAATGGCACATGGGAGGCGTCCACTATGGCACTTCTTCGGTCTAAAGCTGGGGCCCCCATCTTGGGAACGCATACTGCACACTGGGCAGTTTGGAAACCCAGTGTTAGGGATTGGGAGTCAGGCACTATCAGACGTGAAGACAGCGCTGGGCGGGGCTGTGTTTGGGTAGCACCCATTAGTGCCACCGAGTGCTGTTGGGTTCATCTACCTGCCAGGATCATTTTTGATGAAGCCTTGGCCTCGGGCTGTGCTTGCTCAGCTGCCACACACTAGCTCTGCTGCAAGCTGCCGTCTGCTGCCTCACTTCTTTCTAGCTCCGTTCACACTGCTTAAAGTCAGCGAAGCAAGACCATGCAGAGGACCTTACTGGCTCTGACACTGTATCACCAGAAAACATAGCACAGGAGACTTGCCCTGGGCCACGGTTGTCCATCCACAAGGGGAAGGGCTCCCTGGTTGGCCAAAGTGGAACCGGTTCACCGAGGCTGTGTGTGAACAAAGCGTGGCACACACTTCCCTGCTTAGGGCTCGGTCCTCAGCAAGCGGTCGGCTGTGGCTTCCGCATAGTTGTCCCAAGGCAGCAGCGGGGTATTTAAGATGCTGGTGCTGCCATATGTGTAGCTGTTAAGATTGACAGTCCTTTTGCTCACAGCGGCTTGACCAACAAGAAAAGATGCCAAAGATGTTAGGGGTCAAATTGCCTCCTCCCAGGGTCTGCTTGTTGACAGGAAGTGAGCCTCAGGAGGAGGGCTGGCAATAGGAACAGTAACAGGGACTTTAGTGGATTTTAACTGTGCTTTCCACCTGCCCTGTGCCCAGGGAGGGGTGGGCGCCTCTTCTCTGCCTCAACCAGGACTTTGGAATCACAACACAAGGAGTTTGTCCTGGAGAGGCGACTGGAGTTAGAGCTTCGAGGTGTATTCTACAAAAATGTTGTCTCCCCCCCCCCCCCCCCCCCCCCCGCGCGCGCGTGCGCGCGCGCCTCTGTTGGCTGGACCACCCGAGGCTTGTGCTAATGGAGTATGAAGGAGCAGGGCAGGGCACTTAGCATGTGTTTGGACACTTTCCCAGCTGAGCCTGCTGTTTTGGAGGATTGAGGTAATGCCACAGGGGAGGGTGTGGATCGCTGCGGGCAAGCTGTGAGGTTTTATTCGTGTGTTTATTTTAAAGATTTGTTTTGTGATTTTCTTGTGTGGGGGGGGTATGTACATGTGGGTTTGGTGTCCTGTGAGACCTGAGGCGCTGGAGCTGGAGTTGCAGGGGCTGTCAGCGAGTTGGATCCTCTATACGGGGCAGGACTCCCTAACTAAGGGCTGAGCTGTCTCACCAACCTCCCAACTGTGAGGTTTTATACCCAACCCTGCTGCCTCCTCTCATGTCACTGTGACTGATGATAGTCCCGGACAGCATCTTGAAGGCGGGAGATCTTTACTCATAGTTTTGGAAGGGTCAGTCACTGACTGTTTGGGCAGAATATGGTCAGTGGTTCCTGTGGGGAAGGGGAGCTATTTGCATCATGGCTGACAGGAAGCCAGCAGACAGAGGGTGCAGACACGCAGCTGGCTTTCTCTTTTCTTCCCTTTCTGTTCTCTTCGGCCTCCTGGCCACTGGAGGGCGTCACCCACTTTGAGGGTGGGTTTTTCTCCTCAGTTAATTCTCTCCGGAAGCACCCTCACAGACATTCAGACACTTTAGCAGTCTCCCGGGGATGCTAAATCCTCTCAAGCCCGTGGTTCTCCACCTTCCTAATGCTGAGACTCTTCAATACACTTCCTCGTGTTGTGGTGACGCCAACCATAAAGTTACCCTGTTTCTGCTTCATCGCTGTAATTTTGCTGCTGGTACGAACTGTAATGTAACTGTCTGAGGTGCATAGAGATGCTGTTAGGCATCTTACAGCACACAGGAGAGCCCACCCACCCCCTGAGGAATGACTCAGCTCAAAGGGTCGATAGCTCAGAGGCTGAGACTCTGGTATAGCTCTAACCATGATGTCCCTTCTTTACTGTCACTCTAGCAACCAGTGAGGTAACTGCTACCTGCCTCTAGGTGGGGCCTGAATGTCTCCAGATTCCTTTGTACCCAGACCGCTTGTTACCCCTCAACCAGCTGATGAGAGGCCACGGAGGCGGGTGCAGTACAGACATTAGGACCACAAATTGGGGGAGTCTGAATTATCTGCTTACATTGGATAGCCTTTGGGGTCCTTCTGCCTGTTCATGAAACTGTTCATACACGTGTGTGCATATATGCGCCACTTACTGATGAGAACACAACCTGCGAAATGTGTTAGGTAACAACACCGTTGTTTGACTGTCCTAGAGTGTGCTTGTCCACACTAAGGTGGATGGGACTTCTGCAGGTGGGAAAACATGGTTTATGTGGTGCTAGGGATTGAACCTAGGGACCTATGCAGGCTAGGTAAGTGATCCATCATCACACACACACATACACACATACATACACACACATACACACATACACACACACATACACACACAAACACACACACACATACACACACACACACACACACACACACACACACATACATACACACACACACACACACTCCACTGAGATATGGTCCCAGACTCATGGGACTGCTGCCATACACAACAATCCACTATTGACTGAAATGCCATGAGCAGTTTCCATGAACTCTGTGCCAGTTAGGGCACAGATGAAACACCATGGCCAAAACCAAGCTGGGGAGGAAGGGGTTTATTGTGCTCACAGTTCCATATATCAGCTCATCATGAAAAGCAGGCAGGGCAGAAACTCGTGCAGGGCAGGGACCTGAAGGCAGGGGCTGATGCAGAGGCCATGGAGGGTGCTGCTTACTGGCTTGCTCCCCATGGCTTGCTCAGCTTTCTTCCTTTTGAAAAATTTTGTTTATTTATTTAGTTTTTCGAAACAGTGTTTCTCTAGACTCGATTTGTACACCAGGCTGGTCTGGAACTCCTAAGAGCTCCTCCTGCCTCTTCCTGCCTGAGTGCTGGGATTGCAGGCGGGCACCACTGTGCCCGGCTTCGGTTTGCTTTCTGATAGCGCCCAGGACTACCAGCCCAGGGACAGCCCAATCCACAGTGGGTGGAGCCTTCCCTTATAATCACTAATTAGGAAAATGCCCTCATGCTGAGGTTCCCCCTTTCAGCTAATTCCAGCTTGTGTGAAGTTGACATAAAAGTGGCCTGTACAGACTCCCATGTGACTCACTGGATAGGACATGGCCATTATGGGTGCCCTCTGGTTTAATGCACCTACTAAGAGTCCCTTGTGAGCCCGGAGCTGCTTTCTGTTAGAAAAGTGTCAACAGATGCCGGCCGGCCTCTCCCACCTCCAGGATCTGTGCTGTAGCTACTTCAGAGAGGCTTTCTGGAGGGTCCCTGGGCCTTTCTCTTCCATTAGCCTCTCCAGAATGCCTAGGTCTGCTCAAGGGGCAGCAGCCTGCATCCGCTGCACAGGCTGACAGGTCTGGCTGGGAGCCAGGCAAGGAGATTGGAAGACGGACCCCGGCTGCGGTCTCAACGGATGAGATGCCCACTGGACACCCTTGCCTAATGGACCTGCCACTTCCTGGGCCGCTGATGTGCTGTGGCGAGTCCCAGACTTCCTTGTCTGTCCTCTGGGAGACTCCTGGCCTCCAAAGGGACCCATGGGACTTGCTGATTCCCGCAGTTTGGCTCCCCAGGTGCCATGAGCCAGCCTGGTTCTCTGACGTAGCGAGTGCTCAGGTTTCTCTGCTCAGTAAGGCTGGGCCTGTGGAGATATCTCAGCTTCCAGCTGGGATTGGCTGAGGTCCTGCCGGGGTGTGCCCATCCACTCTGGCAAGCTCCACTTCCTGCTCTGTTCTACCTGTCAGGGTTCCATCGCTGTGAAGAGACACCATGACCGCCACAACTCTTATAAAAGAAAGTGTTTAATTGGGGTTTGCTTATAGTTTCAGAGGTTTAATCTGTTATCAGCATGGCGGGAAGTATGAGCTGTGGCCTCTGGGAGAAACTGCAGCTGAGTTCACTTCACACCCGGTATTGGGACATCTCAAGGGCAGCACTCAGGACTATGGCCTCTCTCTTCTGCCTGCCATTCAAGGCAGGTCACGGCCATCCTCTGTATCCATGTCCCCGCAGCGAGGAGCATGCCCCCATGGGGACATCGATATAAGTGGGCCATGGACTACCTCACCGTGCTGGGACTTCATGTTTAGACATTTCGGAGGATGCAGTGACAAGTTGAGTTAGAGGAATGAGGTGGTGCCCATGGAAGAGACGGGCTCCAAGCCCAGGGGCATGGCTTGAATGCAAGGCAGGGAAGTGATCTCGGGGCTTTAGGCAGGCCAGGGACACACTGGGGTTGTTCCTGAAGGGCAGAGGGAGTGATTGGAGGAGATGGAGAAATGACTGCATGGATGTAGCCCGCAG